TCCCCGCACGCGGCCGAGCTCAGGGCGTCCCCCTCCCCTCGGCCGGGCGAACCCGAGGGCAGCAGCTCATTGCTTGACAGAGCAGCCCGGCGGAGGCGTGGAGAGCGGCGAGCGAGAGAGCCTGCGAGCAGGCAGAGAAATTCGAGCCGGGAACAAAGAGTGGTCCGGCTGTGTGTGTGTGCGTGTGTAGGCTCCAGCTCTCCGCAGAAGCTTTTGGGTCCGAGGCCCCTGCTGTGACTCCCCGAGACCCCGCGGTGCCCTCCACTGCCGCCTCCCAGCGCTCGCCCGCACAAACTTTATTCTTGGCAAACTTCTTTTTTCCCTCCTCCTCCGCCCCCACCTTCTCTTCCTCCTCCAGCAGATTAAACGCGTCAGGAGAAGGAAAACCGAAGCTAAGGGAAGGAAATAAGCTCTGAAACGGACATCTCCAACCCGGGTGGCTCTTTTTTTTTTTTTATTCTCCAGGAAGTGGACATTTTATCTTTTGATTCTCCTTGCACCTTCCTCGTTGGGGCAAACGGAGCCTTTTCGCCCAGCTTCCCTCTTTTCTCGGAAAATTCCCAACTCGGCACCGGAGGGAGACGCCCCGACGGACCCTCCTCTGTACTTTGGAGAGTAGTGTCTCCTCCAGAACCGCCGTCCTCTGCGCGCAGACCCTGGAGGAGCTGGGGGCGTGGGGTGGCCACCAGGGCAGCCAAGCCTAGAGCACCCCACACTGCGCCGCGCAGACGCCCCAAGAGGCGCCGGCCCTCGCAGCCCGGTGCCCACCGGCCTCGGGGGCAGGCGCCGGCGTTGGTCTCCGAGGAGCGGGAAGGCGCGGGCGGCCGCCGGAGTTCGGGCGCCGCCGCAGCACGGGCCCAGCTTCCTCCACTCTCCTCCCTCAAGCATCCTTTCAATTCTCCTTTCTTCCTCACCCCTTTCGTTGACCCCTTCTCTTTCCTGCTGTCGCCTCGGGTGCTCTCCCAGCAGAGCGGAGATTATAGAGTGGTCGGCATGCCCCAGCTCTCCGGGGCAGGAGGCGGCGGCGGGGGAGACCCGGAACTCTGCGCCACGGATGAGATGATCCCTTTCAAGGACGAGGGCGATCCCCAGAAGGAGAAGATTTTCGCTGAGATCAGTCACCCCGAAGAGGAAGGCGACTTAGCCGACATCAAGTCTTCCTTGGTTAACGAGTCCGAAATCATCCCGGCTAGCAACGGACACGAGGTGAGCGGGCCGCGGCCGGATCAGCAAGAGGCGTGGCGGGTCCCGGGGAAAAGCCGAGAGGCAAGGAGGGAGCCGGGCAGAGCCGGCGACGGTCTCTTTGAGATCCCGCCTTTGCTAGGGGTGGAGTGGATGAGCCCCCTGGTCGGCATTCTTCCTTTGTGTATGTGTGCATGCGCGCGTGTCGGGTGGGAGATGCCGGCTTATGCAGGGAAACTTATTCCAAGCGGGCCTGTTCGGGGATCGGTAGCGAAACCGTCGGTTTGGGGGCAGGACAAGCTGACCCTAAGGCATAACGTTTGGCCTTCGGACTTTTTAGTGGCGTTGAGAGGGTGCAATGCATTAAAGCGAGGATGTGTGAACTGAGGTCTTTTGAAGGACGGAAAACAGAGTGCACCCGCTATCTTTTTCGGTAGATGTGTATGCAAAAGTGCGTTAAACCACCAAAGGCTTAGGTGGAGACGTGCAGAGCCACAGGCGGAGAGGAAGGGGAGGCGGGCGTGGGCCGGGGACAGGCGGGGCCGGCCCAACCGCCGCTTAGCGGGGCTCGCGCGGAGCCGGCCGGCTGAGGGGGCGCGCGCCTGGGCAGCGGGGGCGGCGTGGGGCTCCGTCCGTGCGGCGAGAGTCCCAGCGTCCGGCCGGCAGCCAGGAGCCGTGGGCGTGCCCAGCCGAGCCAACCCGGGGGGCCTTCGCAGTACCGCCCATAACACTCGTTTTCTCCAACCCCCGTCACTTTTGTAAAATAGCGCTTATATTTGGGGTTAGATTGGGCCCTTAAATCTATGCAGAAGACAGGCGAGTCAGAATGGGGATGCAGCGGAAGCCAAGGCACCCACTCAGGGGAGGGTGGAAAGCGTTTTATCAGATCTCCTGGCCGGCGGCGGGCGATAGCGCCAGTAACCCGAGTAGAGTAAATAGAGACACGTGGGTGCCGGCGAGAGAAAGCCGCCTGCGGGATCGCGCGGAAAGGCTATTTCAGGCCCCGCGAGCGCTTCAGAAGGAGGGGTGGGTCGGTGGGCGGATGGACCCTGATACCCGACACTCTACTGGCCACTCTTCTTCAGCGGCTGGGAGACGCTTTGGAGGAGGAAATCCGGTAGAAAAGTTCTAACACTCAGATGATTTCAACGCTTTTTTTCCTCCAAAGAAATTTGGAGGGTATACCCTTTTTCCTTAAATGGCATCCTTCTGCCCCCAAAAAGAAAGCGTGTGGTTTTGGGGGCGGGGGCATTTGGGGTTTTAAACAACGAGTTTGAGAACACCTCCGAGTTACCTTCTTTATCCCAATGGCAGGGGTGAGTACGCATTTTGAAAGTCTGGGGGCCTGAGTTCGAAGGAGAACACATAGGCGTGTTCTTTATCCTCTGAGTCTTTCATACCAACATGCCAATTTGAGGGGGACGGGAGGGGGATTTGCCAGAGTACACCCAACCCCACTTAAAAGGTTTGTGACTATATATGTTCGGGGGAGGGGTTCATTGAGGGGACACGTGTCCGAAGAACCGAATAACATCCAAAACAGGGCAAACTCGTATTTGTAGAGAAGCCTCTTTCTACCCATTTTGCCCTCCTAATTCCACAAATAAATTTGCCGTCGTTTCACATTTTCTGCATGTTTTTGCTCTGGGGAGAAGGGCGCTGCATTCAAAGCCCAGAATCCAGGTATTAAGGCTTTGTTAATCTTTGCCATGGTGGTAAGTGGGCATGGGGCAGCCCCAAGGAAGATGGTGAAAGGGTAATACCACTGATTTGCACGTGGTTGAGTCTGGGTAGATGGTGGTTACCAGAACTGATATTAGCTGGGCTACCTTTTAGATGTCTATAACCCCACTCTCAAATTTTCCTTTCTTTAACCACAGAGTAAATTCACTTTTTTCTTGTAAACTTGCACTGAGCCGGCCATGGTAGGTTATAAGGAGTGGAGCTCTTCTGGGACTAGCTTGGGACATTGGCTTTAGACCCCTATCTGTTAGCGGTTGGCTTGTTTTTATTTAAAATGTAATTTTCATTTGAACAGTAATATTTCAGCTTGCTTTTAATCAGCTGTGATTGAAGTGAACAGTGGTTGAAGAAGCTATCAAAACAATCAACCCCATTAACTCAAACTATCATTTTAGGCCTCCAAGTAGCCTTGATAGGTTTTAGCAAATAGCATTCAGAACAGCATGTGGATCTTTCCCAAATTTCTTACATTGTTATTGTTCTTCCTCTTATTATTTACTCTTTTTATAGTTGTCGATGTATAATAATGACTCAAAAATACATGTTGAAAAGAAAGAAATTGCTTATACTTCTTAGGTTAATAAAACAAGTAGCTGAGTTGCACCAAACCCTCCTCTTTTGAGTTACCAGTGGATACACACTTATATCAGTATTGTTACAAACTCTAAGGTGATTTTCTTTCTTTTGGGCCTGGGGATTCATGCTGTTAGGTGGCCAGACAAGCACAAACCTCTCAGGAGTCCTACCACGACAAGACCCGAGAACACCCTGATGACGGTAAGACTAATTCTACTTCTCCCAACTTTGTCATTTAACATGTGCAATTTGTAAATGTACATATGTTTTGCTATTTTGAGTCCAAGAAACTGGGATCCAACAAAATGGAAAAGAAAACCCAGGAATTTAATGCTTATCTCTAAATTTAAAACCTGTCTTTGAATGTTAGGGGCCTTTGGATTTCAGTTGTATTCCAGATTCTTTGTGGAAGAGGAAATGTCTATGAGTTTTTCTCTTTTCCTCCTTTTACCTAAAGTTCTAGTTGGCTGAGATCGTTAGCATTTTTTTTCCTGCATTGTTACATTGTTATAAAGAATGACAGTCTACACCAAATTATCTTTCTAACATGAATAGTTTCAAATGGATTTTTGTTTGTGAAATTGGTGTTTCTAGTTACAGTGAGAAGGCAGGCAGTGAATGCACAGACTTAATGTGGCTCCATAAAGCAGAATCTAACTTTTAAAAATATAAAACTTTATTCATAAAATTAGGAACTATGCATATGAAACATGATAGTCCTACCAATTTCTGATTCTTGCTTGAAAGTTTAAAAATTATATATGTTTTTTAGATTTAGGGAGAACTACCTGTGACTTTAAAAGAATCAAGGAACCTGTAGGGTTTCCTTGTCAGACAGTCTACATTTCTGTTATCCTTTAATTGTTTACAATTGGCTTGATCAGAATGAAGTGTTTGTACATGTAACATGTCAGCCAAGAGAAGAAGGGAAGAGAACTATAAAACCAGGCTTCTTCCTGAGCTACAAAGTAGTTACACAGGTTAAAGAGAAGAAATATATACACTGAATATATGCAAATTATTTTGGCAAAATGATGTAAGTGTAGCACATGAAAATTGAGTCTCCTGGAGTTAATCCTTCATAAGGTTGGGTAGTTGCCCATACTCCAGATACAACTCTCTCCCTCGGTAAAAATCTAGAAATTTTTAGAAATCTAGACAGGTAGAATTTTTGAGTTTGCCTATAAGGTGGAGCATAATTTCAAGTGTGTAAATATATACATTTGTTAATAGCTAGGTAGCCTAATATATTTATGTTACAGCTTTAGGTTTATGTGTGTTCTTTCATGTGTCTCTATTTCATTAGTATTTGATCAAATTAAGTTAGATGGATGACACTTATTTTTGTATAAACACCGGTCAATAGTGGGAGTAAATTGAACCATATGTTTTTAAAACATCTGGTTCACTGCTAAGTCATTTAAGAGAGTAAATACTGTCTATCTAAAACAGAGTATAATAATTCAGTTACAGTATTTTGTAAACAACTCTTTTAGGTAAAGTCTGATTTGTCATAGAACTAGCAGATTTTGAAATGAAAAATACAGTGATATAAAAAGGAAGCCAATGCGTCATCGTTTGTTCTTTGGGTTTTCTCAGGAAAGCATCCAGATGGAGGCCTCTACAACAAGGGACCCTCCTACTCCAGTTATTCTGGGTACATAATGATGCCAAATATGAATAATGACCCATACATGTCAAATGGATCTCTTTCTCCACCCATCCCGAGAACAGTGAGTAACATGCTGATGTTGCAGATCATTTTCAGAAGAGCCAATTAATTTGTATTTTGGCAAAACGATTGTTTTTTAAAAAAACATATTGGAAATGCTTTCATTATATATGACCAGTCATTGCTAAATAAGACCTGTTATGAAGAATGGCTGCCTTAAAAGAATGCTAACTTTGATGTCTTGCATTTGGAATTTTAACTTTTGGCTTGTTGGTTAAGATTAATAAATAACAGATCACGAGTTGTCATGAAATCAAATGAAGTTAAATCAACAGATTTATAATTTTTTGAGTATTTTGCTTTCTGTGCTGATGAGAGGAAAATTTGATTTAATATTTTAGTTCTCTAAGTACTGAGTAGCTTACACGGCCCCTAAGCTATCTAAATCAGAACTACTTTAGCTCCTTTGGAGCTGAACATTCGGAGTGTTATTTCAGCTTTTAAAACAGTGTCTCATTTTATTGTATTAGCTAATGTTTCTTTAAAAATCAGTTGAGAAGAGCTATTTTTACTTTATTAATTGTTGAGAGAGTATTACTTGACAGTAACCCTAGTGAAAATTATTCTTTTAATCTCGTGGTTCAGTTAGTTTTCAGAGTTCCAAAAATGCGGTGGCCTTGTAACTGCATGATGTGAATGTATATAGCACTCTGAAGAAATACTTGACCATATTTCTCTTTTGCTGGGAAGTGGAAACCTCATTTATATAGCAAGAGAGCATTTAAAGTGTAACTTGTGTAGTATGCGAACGTGAGACATGCTAGTGATGGGGTGCTCCCTGGGAACCATCCCTCTGGCGGTGGGGATGGATTTTTTACTGCTCCGTCAGTATATTTACCTTCATTCGGTCTCACTCTCCCTCTACCACCTAAATGCCAATAAAAGGCATGGATGTCTTGGGGTCTTAGGGATTAGAGTTTCAGTCTAATCCATCTGACCCTCCTGAGAGTCAAATTCTGGATCATAGAAAGGAACCTATGATAGTTGCTTTATTAGCTCAGTCCTTCCACTAAATGAAAAAAAAAAAAAAATCAGTCACAGACGTCTGGGAAAGGACTTTCAGTAATACCTCAGTGAACAGAATCTGAGGGCCTGGAAGAGAGGAATATTTTGTGCTCTTTAAGAGTATTTGTGTTTATTTTGATTATCCTTAGTACTCAATTGCTGAATTGATAGCTATGTGAAATATAACTACCTTATGTGGGCACTGTGATTTATAAGTTATTATAATTATTTTTCCACAAATTTCAAAAAGATATTTGACCTTTCAAGTAGGAAATTAGATTTTTCTAATTTTCATATAGTGGCAAAAATGGTGATGTTGGAGATCTTGTGGTTATAGGAAATACCGATTTCACATTTTATTTTAAAAGGCTTTTTAAATATTTAATGATAGAGATGTCTTTATGGTGTATATGAATCTCTTAAGAAGTGAATGAATGAATAAAAGCAAATATAGTTTAATATTTAGAGACTACCCCAAATAAATGCTTTTGAGTTTTAAAATGTGTAGGAGACTTTGTATTTGTTGAAGTAAATGCGATAAAAGATATTTCTTTTATGATTGGGCTGTTTTGTTGTTTTTTTCTGAAGGGGAAGGAAAATTTATTTTAGATAAAGAATAATTGAAGATTTCTGTTGAAAGCCTAGAATAACAAATAGTCTGACAAATCTAGATTGCAGTTTCTGACTTGGTAAACCACAGGAAATGGCCACTAAAACAATCTTATACTTTTTGGCTGTGCACACAGTTAATGCTTAATAAATATTTGTGGGATTTATTTCATAGTTCAGCTACTTCTTTCAAACCAATTTTTAAAGTCAATATAATGAAAATCTATTGATATTTATAAATGATCCCTAAATATATTGAAAATTAAACTTCTTTCAACCAGCATTTTCTGTCTTAGGTCTCTCTAGCTTTTTCTCACCTCCCCCCTCCCCACAGTGTATTAATCATTTTGAAATTTTGATAGAATGGAAAGTCTTTATCGTTAGTGTATGTATTAAAATTTCGAGGTCAGTAAGTTTAACATCATTCATTATTTAGGAAAGATTTGTGGCCAGAATAAATGTTGGTGGGTTTACAGAGTGGACAAAGGTGTGGTCAGGAAAGTTTTACCTTACCCTGTTATCTGCCTCTTTATATTCTGTTACATTTTAGGACATACTTATTTTAGGTAATGGGGTAAATTAGGTAAATTTTCTTGCCATATTCTGCAGTTTACACAATTCCAGAAGCTTTTCAACTTTAACCACAAGGCTATGTCCAATTTTTTTTTTTTTTAAGGTTCGATTGAAGTGAGTTGCAATCTTTGGTTTTTAATACCTAACAGTCGTTTTTAATGTGTCTGAGACTCAAAACACTTTAACGGGAAGGCAACTTCTCTCCTTCACCCCTAACCACACTCTGTCTTCTTGCTCTCTAACTCTGCCCTTAGCAGGACAAGTGTTTGTATAACTGACATCCACAGTGATAGGTTTTTATCTGGGATGTCAGGAGCAGGGTGACCATTTGTGTTTGGGCTTACGGTGGAAGTAGCCCTGAGGCATCCCCATTACTGAAATTTGCATTACAAACAACTGCTTGTTTACTGTATCTGCTGCCTGCAGGTGTTAGGACTAGAAAAAAACATGGTGGGGGGAGAGCATTGACCACTACTTAGACAAATTCTTCCATTTATAGGAACTGCATGGTAATCCAGAGAAGATCAGCTAGGGCCACTGGCATGCACAGAAATGTTTCTGCTGGTAGCTTATTCTAACAATTTTATACGCATTTTTACACGCATCATGACATATGTATGATCGTAGAGTTTTGCCTATGACCTAAGCACAGTATTACGTACTCAAGAGAACTACCTTCTCCAGTCAGGCTTTTTTCCTTCAAAAGGGAAATTTTAATTGGCTAATTACAATCATCCAGAACTGGGATTCTTAGAGGTGTGTCTGTACCAGAAATCTTATGAATAGATGTCTCACAGACTTTTAAATAAGAATTCTTAGTTCAGATAAAATGGGCCTAAGAAGAAAGCACCAATAATGATAACATATTTGTTGTCAGTATAAGTTCTTAAACCTTGAATTGTCTTCATAGAGAATGAGAAGAAGATGTCGAAGCCTTTTAAATATGTCAGAGCAAAGACTCTGGCAAGTGTTTTAAAAGCATACCCCCAAGCTTTTCTTTCTCTGAGTTTTATTTATGAAAATCCCTGTAGGCCAATGGTAAAGGTTAATATTAAAAGAAAAAAAAAAACATGTAGTTCGTTACGTCCTCTGCGGGGGTTCTGGCACTCATGTGCCTGAATACTCTGTGAACAGTGAGCTTGACTGGCTTTAACTTAGTGAAAGTTCCCACTGGCCTAGTGCACTGTAGTTATTCATCTAAGATGTCAAGCTTCCATTTGTCCCTCACACACCCAAATGTTTAACACCTTTGAAGAGAAACATCTCGTTTCTCTTCAGCTGCTCAGGGGAGGGAAAAGCAGCAGCTTAGTGCAGGAAGCTACAGCAAACGTTGAGCTGGGTTGTACCGACCACAGCAGCACCTGGTCAAGTGCTGCTGACTACATGTGTTTGTTTCTTTGTGATGTTTCAGAGGATTCATTTCTAGGTGGGAAAGGAAGGTGTTTGTGTTTGCAGTTTATTTTTCTTTCCTTATTTTTATTAGACATTACTATTAAAATGTTTCAGGGGTTCTTTTAAAAATTATTTTGAACAAATCATTAGTTTGCGTTCCATTGTATGGTTTTTACCTTAAGGGAATCAACATTTGGAATCCTCATGAACAGAATTATGCCCATTATACCTTTGTCTTAGCTTCCCCTTGTGTTTGTATTCGCTTACAAACAGCTAAAATTTGACTTTTGTCATTGCTCACGTCTGGAATTAGGAACTGAGGTGGATATGTCTAATCAGTAAGCTTTCACTTAAATCACTGTATATCACATTGCTGCGTATCTTTGAAAATAATCACAGAAATAATAATTCAAGGATAGAGAAGACTCTGGCTTATATTTTGAGCAAGATTTTAAAAGCAGAGTGTCTTCACTTTACTGCAAGGAGCTACTTAATTTGACTTACTGATAAATTATTTTTAATTTTCTAATCTAAGTTGTATACTTTTTGAAACTAAATGTATTAAATTTTCTTCTTTATTTCAAGTGCAGGAGTAGTTAACTTTTAGAAAGTCTATTCTATCTCAGATTTGAATGTGGATGTCAGAATGTGTGGGGAAAATTCCTCAATCTCTGGACTCTTCCGTTTGATTCATTCTTAGTTTTTCTGCTACAAAGTTGGGAAAGGATCACAGTAAGAATAATTTGGCACTATTGCCATCCCTCCTTCAGATATCTTAGATATATTATGACCAATAGTTTGTTTATTCCAGTGTCTCAGGGAACTGATGTTGCACTTGCATGACTGGTACCACAAGAGTGTGATTCTTATTCAGATATGTTTTTTTGAAATGACCCTAGAAGTTTCCTGTTTATTTATAAACACATGAGAACAACCCACTTTCACTAAAACAAGGCCATTGAGCTAACCTGCACAAAATCTTACTCTTTGAAATACCCCTTTCCCTGCCTGTCCATGTACACGTCCTGACTTGTTCTCATCAACCCCATTATTTTGATTCAGTCAACCCATTATTTTGATCCAGTTTCTCTTGTGGCCAAAGACTCATGTGTAATTTATCAGGGCAGAGATGGGGCCTTACAAGTGGGTCTATCTGGACTTGAACTTGTAGCCTCACAAGTATTCTTCCATAATATCAACTGAGAAAATTTTGCAGCTTTTGAGTCTTGTTCTTGTTTGTTTGTTTTTGATTTGTTTTTGTTTCTTTTCCTTAGGGTGCTTTTTTCTCGGGGGGGGGGTGTGTTTTAAGTAATTTTGTTCTTTAGGCAGAACTATTTTTAGTTTATGCGACTGACATTTTTTAAGCAACCAGATCATTTCATTCCCATTCCTCTCTGACTCCTTTTGTTCCTCATTTATGTA